TATCTTCTGCTCACAGGCCACCTCTTCATCAAAGTCTTCTCTGCCTGCCTGCTTCTAAATTAGCAGTCCTTGTCATTTTCCATTCTCTCTCATTTCAGCATTTTTCTCTGCCCAGCATATTCTATCTTTATGTATTTGTCCTATTGCTTTCTATTTCCCCTATATGAAGTTAAGCCCTGTATTTACAAGACCTTTTCCCCTAAGCTTCTTAGCAAACATGAAAAGATCCTTTGGCCATATGACTTTCACTTTGCCTTAGACTTCTATCCCCAGGAAGCCTTCACACAATAATTCCTTTGCAATAAAGGCAAATTTTCCTCACAACTCATTTCTAAATCCAGTTGAGATTGTCTCTGTTAATTCTTCCCATCTTTCTTTCTTGCCTTTGTAAATTACTTCAAGCATGAATTATTCTTTTTTCTTTTCTTTCTTTTTTTTCCTTAAAGAGAGATTTTTGCTATAGGGTACTCTTGCCAGAGAGAAAGAGAGACAGAAAGTGAGAAATCACCCCCCAGAGGGGATGGCCATCCACAATTTCTTCTCCTCCATTCTCTCTCCAGATCTTGGGCACACACGAACACGCATCCGGCGTGAGTTTTAAGCTGCCAGGTCTGGGACTCAAACCACGGTCAACTACATGGGAGTCCAGCGAGTAACCATCAAGGCATTTGCTGGTTCCCAAGCATGTGTCATCTTACCCTTGCCTATCTTGGCCCTGACCTGTGTCAAGACCTCTGATGTAAACTGAGAGTCTGCTTGGAACGTGGAGTAAAAAATGTCAAATGGGACCTAGTACAACAATTATGCTTTTCTCAAGATTCACTGAGCTGTCAGGCACAGACACATAGTAAGTGGAGGGATGAGTTACCCAGGGGTAAAGCCTGCAGCCGAAGTGGAAGGAGTCAACAGGCTGACAGAGGATGCAATGGAGGCCTCACCAAGATGGGTTCTGGAATCCGCTGGACAAGTGGGGAAGTGGGGACAAACCAAAAATAGCTGTGGCAAACTGTATCATCTCTTCCTGAAATATCTACATTGTAACGCTCAGATCCTGCAAATGTTACCTTATATGACAGAAGAGACTTGGCTGACATAATTAAGTTAAGGATCATGAGACAGGAAGATTATCTTGGGTGATCTGGTGGGTCAAAAAAGAATCACAGAGTCCAAATAAGGAGAAGAAAAGGTCAAAGAAATAAGAAGGCAATATGATAAAAGAAGCAGAGATGAAAGCGAAGTGCTCTGACGATGGCCAAAGCCCACAAAGCCAGAAATGGAAGTGGCATCTAGAAGTTGAGAAAAGTAAGAAAACAGAATCCTTCCCTAGAGCCTCTAGGAAGACCGAGGCCAGCCAACAACTTGACTTTAACTCAGTGAGACTGATTTTGAAATTCTGACCTCCAGAATTTTAAGAGAATAAATGAGTTTTAAGCCAAGTACGACAAAAAGAGTTCTGCCTCAAGACTGTGTGAGAGTTTTCTGCCAGGGTGTCCCTGCGTTTAACAAGAAAGCAGTTCACATTAAATCGTCCCCCTCCTCCCACCATCCCTGGTACCTTCAGGTCACCATGGCTACTACCACGAGCAACAGCTTACGTTTACTGAGCACTTACCAGCTTCCCTGTAAGTGTTTTATGTACATTACCTCATTGTTATATTTATAATAACCTTATGTGGAAGGTGCTATTATTACCTTTATTTTAGAGGTGAAGAGAAGAGGGTGGCCAGTTAACCTTTGGAACAGATGTTTCACAGGCATTCCTTTAAAACGTGAAATACACGTATTTTCCATTTCGTGCTTTACCAGATTGCACTAAGCAGGGTTTGAGATTAGAATTAGGGAATGGAGAAGAGGAGTGGACCTGATTCCTGACTATCTCTCTTTCTGGTATTTGCCTCTCTCTTCAGGATTTGGGTTTGGGAGATGAACTAACCTAAGACTACACCCTAGTCTCTGATTCATGGCTCATGCCATGGTTTCCCCCAAGAGACCCCAGTAATAATAATGATCACTGTTTTGCAAATCTACTGTGTGCTAGGCACATTGTAAGTGGGATTTCTGATGTCACAACTACCCTGCATGGCAAATGTTATTACTGACATTTTACAGATGAGAAAATTAGATCTCGGCTAGGTGAAATGACTTGTCAAGGCTACCTATGTGGTTAGTAAGTGGCTACTCCCAGATTCATACTAAAATCTGATGACACAGTTCATGTTGTTGCAGTTATATGAGGACACTTTCTTTTTTTTTTCCTTTTTTTTTTTGAGAGGTTTTCGCTATAGGGCTCATGCGCTCACCAGAAAGACAGAGAGAGACAGAGAGACAGAGAGACAGAAAGCGAGAAATCACCCCCCAGGGGGGATGGCCACACCACAATCCCTTCTCCTCCATTCTCCTCTTGGGATCTTGGGCACGTACGCACACACACCTGGTGTGAGTTTAAGCCACTGGGTCCGGGACTCGAACCACGGTCGACTACATGGGAGTCCAGTGATATAGCCATTACGCTAACTGCTGGTCCCACTAGGACACTTTCTAACACCCAAGTCCACAAACAGAGACCACAACAGGAGGTCCATTTCAAGTTTACACCCAAATTTCAGTTCCGCATCTGGTTTTGTCCTGGTTTTTATTTGGGATTTGGTGGATACTGTGACTACTGCATCTAAAAGTTCTGCTGAACTTAAAAATTGGAGTTCTGAGGGTCAGTTTGTGGTGTGATGATTAAGGTAGCTGGATCCACATGACCAACTGTATGGTTCAAGTCCCTGGCCCAGAGTCTTGAAAAAGATGCCTGGCACATGTGTGTAGTTGACCAAAATCCCAAGAAGAGAATGGAGAAGGGACTGTGTCATGGCTATCACCCCTGGAGTTTCTCTCTCTCTCTCTCTCTCTTTCTCTCTCTTCTCTTTCTTTTAGAAGTTCACATGTCCTATAGCAAATTAACGCCCAACAAACAAAAAGAAAATTGGAGTCTGGATCACAGCTATCCCAACTTTGGAGTGGTTTGATGACTGTCTGTTTGGCCAAGCAGACTCTGTGTTCCAATGTCTCAGTCAGAGATTTTAGGGATTAGAACATGAGTATTGTTTGTGGGGGGGGAAACCATTCAGCTAACACACCAGGTAATCCAGGTCAACCCCAAACTTGGACCAAGACCCTCCCTTCAAAATCCATCTTCAGATACAACACCTTCTCTTACCGGATGCCCTACCCAGGTGCCACAGCAGTCGAATACACCAGAAATGTAACAACAAATAGTTACCTAGTGCTTGCTAGACCTCAGTCACTGTGCTAGGTTCCAAGTGTTTCTGTGGCATTTCCAGGACTTGCTCTATCATCATGGAGAGAAAGCAGAGGGAAAAAACCAGTAAGCAGAAATAAGTAAAATAATTGCGTATTTCAGTAAGCCCTTCACTTATTTTTTTAGAGAGATTTTTGGCATAGGGTGTGTGCATTTGCCAGAGAGACAGAGAGACAGAAAGTGAGAAATTGCCCCCCAGGGGGGATGGTCACTCTGCAATCCCTGTTCTTCCATGATCCTCTTGGGCTTTTGAGCACAGAAGCACATGTGCCCAGCGTAAGTCTCAAGCTGCCAGGTCTGGGATATGAACCACAGTCAGCCATGTAGAAGTCCAGCGACGTAACCATTATGCCATTGGCTGGTTTCAACAACATATTTTAGTATGTTCTATAAGCAGTAAAATTTTGAGTTAAATAGACAAGCACTCTGAAGAGATACATGGAATCCTAAAGGAAAAGAAAAAGCTAAATCATGTTAAGAGTGTGGGGGGAGATATCTTAAACAGAGAAAAGAGTCTGGACAAGACCTTAGAGAGAGCCTAGTGCACTAGAGGACCTGAATGAAATGCGGATGCTGAGTGAGGAAAGGGAGAACGTGGCAACATGGCTGAAGAGGCAGGCAGGCACCAGATCATGCCCATATTGCCAGCTGGGAACGACCTCTGGATTTTAAGAGTACTCAGAAGTCCACCGAAAGGAGAGTACAGTTCAATCTGACAGTGAGCAGTGTACAGTCATATGAAAGGACAAACACTGGCTGCATGCTTCTCCAACAAAAAAGCAGAGGAGAAAATGAAAGTCGTGTCTGGAAGGGGCCTCCCTATGTATAACGGAGGAACCGAAAGTCGATGCCTACACTTTTCTCCATTCTTGGGAAAGTTCTGGACTCTGCTCCTCTGTCTGCCACTGCAGCTTCTATACAACTGGCGGCAAAGGTCCTTTCCTACTTTAACAGTGTTCACACTCTGACCCAGTACTTCCAGATCTGGGAATAAATTCTAAGGAATAATAGCCAGCGCAAGTAAGGAATTGTGCAGAAGGAAAGATCCTTGGAGTATCATCACAATCAGGAAAATTTGAAACAGCCTAAATACTAACAGGAGAGAAATAATTAAATTATGCTTGATACATAGTAAAGTTATGGAATATAAACTGCATCATACTTGATACATATTAAAGTGGCCGTACAGCGGTAATGCACTGCTCAGGAGAGGAGATTCAGGGCCCTGAGGCGCTGCACCCGACCGCCACCCGACAAGCCCGGCCGACCGCGGCCCAGGGGCGGTCTCTGGGCGGCCCGGCTGCCGCGGAAGGGCGGGGTTCGAGGTAGTTCGCCCTCTCCGGGCTGCCGTAGGCGCTGGGGCCGCGGCGAAGGGGTCACGAGACGCCCGAGGGCCACAGCAGAGCCAGCGCCATGGCAGGTGGCCAGCCGCAGGAGCGCGTTTTG